TGCCCCTCTCGTCTCCGGCTCCCGAGCGGTCCCAGAGCACGCTCAGTGTCCGCTCGGCCTCAGCACGCCCGAGTAGGAAAGGATTGGACGCGACTTCTAGAAGCTTTTTAACGCGAATAATCACCGGACACCACCGCAATTCCAATTAACCGCGTGAATCTTCCCTTCTTAATCGTTTATCCCGTGCCCTTATCTCGACGTGTTACGGTGTGTTTAACGAGAATCAATTGGACGTAGGGAAGATTAAAAAGTGTGATTGAATGTGAAAAAATTTTGTGGTAATCGTTAGAATAATGTGACAATTAAATGGTGGGGTGGTGCAGCGGAATTTTCTTGTTCTGTGATCGAATTGTTTCTAGTGTAATATATGCCTCATATCTAAATGCTCATTTGCGAGACTATAACGGCCGATGACTGACAGTACGAAGTTAACCGTCGTTCCACTCCATCAAACCGTTCCCGGAATCGAATGACACGTCGCGTGTCAGAGCTCGAACGTAAACTGAAATTCGATCCAGCTCGTGGGATAAACGAAGACAGAAGAAGAACGGCGGTGCAACGGTCGGAAATTGATGCCTAGGAGAGATATAGTTATACGTGGTGTGTGCGGATCAGTGCTCGATTTCGCGAAACGAACACACAACGAACGGCTCTCTCGACGAAATGAAGGCGGCGAAGGGTGGATGTTCGATCGATACCGCGATCGATACGGCTCAGAGATCCGCGTGAAACGTTATCGTCTGCCCGGTTCCCTTTGTACGTTCGGCCACGGTGCCGCGTATTAAAACGTTAATCTCCGGCTGTACTACCGGTTATACGTACAGATTGCCTTTGCGTCCCCCTTCTCTCTTTATCCTCTTCGTTTTCACTCCTTTTATCCTTCCTCTCTCCGTCTCTGTCCATCCTCTTCCTTCCTTCTGGACTTCTCATGGTGTGCTGCTTGCTACCTTTCTTTCCTCCTTCCTTCCTCCCGGCATTCGCTCGCTTTCTCTGCCCGTCCCTGTCCCTCCGGTTCGTCCTTGTCGCGTCCCGGACGGGGTCCTCTCGGTGTTGCTGCAGCAGCGCGTGCCAACCCGACGAACCGAAAAAAACATGGTACACCGTCAATCGGCCGCTGGTGTTCCCGCGACCTCTTCATCTTTCAGAATGCTATCAAAGTCTCAGGTGGTATATCGTGCTTCTTGGAAGATTGTGATCTATGTGTCTTTTATTACCGGCCGAGTGTTGTTCGGACGATGATGGTGTTGTTATCTGGGCGTCTGGCCGCGAAACCGCGGTGTTTCAATGGACTATTGATTTCTGACTCTCAAAGGAGCTGCTGGTTCATTAATTCGGAACCATTACTGATCGAAACCAGAGACAAGACTGAAAGTACGATTTTATCGAACACCAGGGGAGTCAATCGAAGTGGACGCAGGAAGATTGATGTTCTATCGGCGAAGATCAGTCTGAGGATCGGTACCCGGATTAACCTCAACACGTTATTCAATCTGTCAAGATTAACCGCGCGAAAAGGACGCCATTAAAAACGGTGATTTTCTGCTTCGAACGGGCAGTGTGCTCTGTTGAATAAGGAAAAAGAGAGTTTAACCAAGATTAAAAGAAATAGATGAAGTGTTCGATGAAATGTTCACGAAAAGTCTTTTATCTTTAAGCGTAGAAATGACTCGACGACATAACCTCACTTTTAACCATTGAAAAATGTCGAGTCTAGCGAGGAGACGTAAAACCTCGGTGTTAGGCTCGAAAAGATGGTGGCAGGGTGGCTGCTGGGCCACCAGGAGCCACCAGGAAGCCTATCTTCGCAAGTTGTACGCCAGGAAAAACGACCAGGTTAGCAAGATCGACGACGACTCGGCAAATCGACGTGACTCAACCGCTAATTGGACTCCCGGTGCTGTCTACGAATTACCAACCACCGATGAACACTATTTGGACGCGTTTCTAAGGAATCGTGAGGATGGAAACGAAGAGGATGACGTTGTCGGAGTGGTCGTCGGTTGTCCAGCTTTGGCTACGGGCAGGGCTAGCCCAACGGAGAAATGCGTGGAGTACTTGAACGGCGCTCACGATGCTGTGGCGTTCGAAAACGAGCGCAGAATCGCAGGGGAGCCGGTGGCCACCGATTGCGGCTCCCTGCATTCGGGTTACGATGTCGCCGCCTCTGCAGAGTGAGTTGATCTGGTTTCGTTGATCGACCTGTGTCCGAGGGAAAGTTTTTCGGTGCTACGATTGTGTCATTCTGCCGGTGTTCTTGTTTTTCGGCAACTGGCCCCTTCAAAGTGGCTTGTGCTGTGGAGCGTGTAGAGAGTGTGCAGAGGTAGTGGTTGAATGGTGATTTAATTGGTGATCTAGTGGTTCGACAGGTGTGGCGGTTAATTTGAAATCGATAGAGGAATTTGAGTGACGAGTGAGTGATTTAGAAAGTGGAATTTTTTTTTAATTAGAGAGGAATGGGGATTTCTGGAAATTAGGTAGCAGATAATTGAGAATTATGTAGAGCATTAGGAATTTCTTGAAATTAAATATAGTTAGGAAAGTGAATATTGGAAAAATTGAAGTTGATTGTTTATTCGTTGAATATCGAAAGTTATAGATAGTTCTTACGTGAATATTTTTTATTTTAGAAAATACAAGTGATGATATAATTAAAAGGAGGCTTATAGCATTTTGAGGTTAGGTTTGAAATTAAGATTCGCGCGATTACAGTCTAGATTATAAATTAGGATCGAAGTGGCGTCTACGGTTAGAACTAAAATTAGAGTTAAAACGAGCAAAGGGGTGTTATCCTTAGGATTAAAGCAACTAACCTTAGGATTAAAACTGAACTTCTGTCGAAGTTCAACTTAAGACCACCATCCTCGAGTCGGACTACACCTGACGAGGCTGTAAATTAACCATTCCGAAGGAATAAACTCGGTAGTGCATATTCGACGTTTCATTACACGCAACGACGAACCTACTGTTGTTTCTCTTTCTCGTAATCAAACCAATTTCCTGCGGAACTAAATTCGCACTTTCTTATGGAAATTCAATTCTTCCTCGTTTGAAACACATTCGATCGTATAACATTAAATTGCCTTTTTAAATTACGATAAGCCTGCCTGGAGTTTCGCCGTCTGGAAACTGTGCAAGGTTTCATTCGGAAACCAGATGGTTTATCGCCGGTTACCGTGTAATCAGGCCTACCACTCGCTACCAATTCATCGTTTCTCACGCAAGTAGGATTTCTCGCCGCTCCATGGGACTCGTACCCAACCGTCTAATGACAAACTGCCCTCTAAATTGTAACATACTTGCTTTTCGACTTAATGGCGATTCGACACACTTTTGTCTCCTTTTCTCTCAATGGAAACAAAGAATAATTATAACATTTTTTAACGAACAAACTAATTAAAATTGCTTACAATTTTTTAATTAGAAAATTAACGGTATTCCGTTCGCGATTTTTTTTCAAATTACAACCGTTTAAAATTAAAGGATTTCTGGCGGTATGTTTAATTTGATTTCTGCATATTTTTCGTCATAAAAATCAAGGGGGTCTCCTTAGATACACTAATTTTCTCTTTTTTGCTCAAATATTTTTTTTAACGAAAATTGAAGGTTTCCATTGGGGTATACAGAAATTTAATTTTTTATTAATTATTTCCTTTTTAGTAAAAATTACGGGTTTCGCGTGGTCCTGCTGTTTCTTCGAATTCGAGGATGCTGATGGGAAGGGGATTTACCGCTTCCTGTGGGAAAAGAATTTCTTCTTGGAACGGTGTTTCACGTTTATATGCAGCATACGCTGCGCACCTAGCGCGAGTACTTTATTACGTTATATAAATTCTACGTTGAAAAATTTCATACTTAACACATCTTCGAGTAACAGAGAATTCTACAGAGCTTTGTATTTATTGCATGGTTCAAGTATGATGGATGTCCTCTTGGTCCCATAGACATGCTAATTAATCCGTATTTATGGTCTTTGACCGTATAAGAGTATTCATCACTTGGCCGTTTTTTTGCTGCTTCTTTTTCTTCTGGTATTTAAGATTTTGGGATTTTGATGTGTTGGATTTAGAGGCAAGAGATGATATATCATTTTCACGAAGCGAAGAACGTCGATGGATTTGAATTTACGATTAGTGAATAGAGTTTCTTTTGATCTTTCATGGAACGAGCATTAGCATGACTGGAATTCTCTTCTATATACGTATAAGCGTGTCAACTAAAATCCTCCGTGCTGGAATTTACGATCTTACTGCAAATATTGAAATTGAATTAACGCCCAGTTTTTTATAAACGAATTTATCATTCTAGAAACTCGTTCTCGTTCGAGTACGACGAGAGCGATTGGTACTTAGCCTCCTAAACGGTGTTACGTTAATTATGCTAATTATGCCAATTAGAGCAATTTTTTTTTCACCGTTCTTCGACACTATCGTACGTTTCCTCAATTAGAAGTGTGTTCTAGGAGTAAAAATAGCATCATCCTTATGAAGGAAGCTGATACGGGAGATCTAATAATAGTACTTAATCATCTACGATGCGGTTCAGGTCTAACCTATATCTTCGTCTTTTTTAAATTACTTCCTTTTCCAGTTTTTACATGTTGTTTTTGAAAACTTGTCTAAGACATTTTGCAAAATTCCATTAATATAACTGGAATGCAAAGCTTCGTATAATTCATTTCGAAATTTATGGAATTTCACAGAACTGAAATAGAGCTTTGTGTAAAGCTTCCTCCATGTAAAATTGATAAAATGGAAAAACACCTCGTGCAACCGATATAAAATTTTACAAATATAAGAGTAATGTTGTGTGAAAGTGAAACCTCGATAAATTGTAAGGAGTATACACCAGTGATCTTGTTATCTCTAACCCAGAGGTCTTTATAATGGTTGCAGGAAGGTGTGCAGAAGCTGCAGGTGTCCCAGGGAGGAGCATCAGCGGACCTCGACGGAGGCGGGCGGTCCCTCGGGACTCGGCCTCGGTCCTGGTCCGCCGATGGCCATGGCCATGGCATTTCCGAGCGGGGCCGCGGGTTCTTCTCACCAGGAACCGTTCAAGAGTCCTGTGCAACCAGCACCGCCTGGCCTCGCTCTTCAGGAGGCTCTGATGCATCATCAGAGGCACTCACAGAGCGACGATGACAGCGGATGCGCGCTCGAGGAGTACACGTGGGTGCCGCCTGGCCTCAGGCCGGATCAGGTAAGCAAATAATCTACTTCCGATCGTCCATAGTTCCTCTACTCTCCTTTCTGTCTGGATCATTGCGAGTTCTTTTGTGGAATCTAAAATGTTCGTTTATGTGGATTGAATTTGAAAGATCGATTTACATTGTTGAATAATTAAAAAATTATCAAGTGTTTGTTACTGGTTCAAGTGAAATAGTGAAGTTGTTTGAAGATTTAGAACATAAATTATGACATGTTGAGAAATTGTAAACGATTATAGAGAGCTTATTGTTCATTTTTATGTTGGTATCGTTACATAACCAAAAAATGAACATTTCGAAGATTTCGTGTTGTTACTTCATTTTATGAGGTAGCATGTACATATATAGATATATTAAAAAAGAGAGAAATATCTTATGGAGATTTAAGTTTGTTAAATAAAAAAAACGGGCGAAAAATCGCGAAGTGAAGTGAACGTTACGAAAGTTCCAAGAGTTCCAGGACTTAGCAAGAGCGCTCACGTGGGCGCGTCCTGATACGCTATGCGCTGTACGCGGTGACTATGGATTTACATAAAGGTTGACTTTCTCTCTCGCGAGATTTATCGAGACAGTTACAGAGAGGATACCCGGGATGCCTAGAATTTTGACGATCTCCAACAGTTTCGCGTATTGTTCAAGGCATATAAATGTCATCTCGTCCAAGACATAATTTTTAATTTCGAAAAAAAAAAAAAAAATCGGTTAAACACCGATTCTGTAAGCGAAACGAAACGATTCAAACTCATTCCCGGTGTTCTTGTCCGAGGGAGGAGTCCGTCACGTGTCCCGTGTAACTGTAAGCATTTTCATTTCTGAATTATTCATGAATGATGAATATCGAGCATCGTGATAGCCGATAAACAAGGCCCAGCGTCTTTGATTCGCCTCGTAAAACTCTCTTTCTCTCTACCTCTCTCACTCTCTGCCCTTCATTAAATTTACACGTATAATTTAAACATAATTCGTTCACCGTTAAAAATCATCATAAGAACACCCAATTCGTTTCATTACTCTTCTCAACACGCCTAGATAGATAGCGAAATTTCTAACGTACATGTCATTCTACGAATACCGCCATTTAAACTCTATGTATGCGCGCGCACCCTTATCAGATTTCCCGTCAGACGAATCAGCGAGAAGACACACTCGGTATTTCATCGGACAAGTCTCGACGCGTATCGAGCGCCGTTCGATCGAAAACCGTTCCCGAAAGCAAGTTTTCAAAAGATGCCGATCCAGAGATATTCGATCATGTCATCAGTATGAAAGAGCCAGCCTGGCAGGACAATCGCGCACGCGCGTTACTTAGTCGAGCGAATCTCTTTGTCTCGCGATGAAACTCTGGTCGATTGATTCTTTCGAATTTACTTTCCGATGTATTTATAAACACGTTACAAAGTCCATAACGGAATATGAACTTTTATTTTTGAAAATCACAGAAATTAGTAGAAGAACAAATTATAATTTCACATATTTAAAAAAGAAAAATAAGCTAGTAATAAACTTAAACACAGACATCTTCACTTAACCTCCAAAATCAACTCCCTATCATTCTTCCACCAAAAAAAAAGAGAGACTCACAAGAAACGCTCGAACCCGATATACCAATGCAAAGAAAAAAAGCAACCTCGCCCAAGACGCGTCGCCTTCCACTCGATCGGCCTTAATTAACCGTACGTATTGGCGCGTCGTGTGTCGCAGGTACACCTGTACTTCAGCGCGCTACCGGAAGACAAGATCCCGTACGCGGGCAGCGCCGGCGAGAGGGAGCGGGTGAAGCAGCTGCTGCAGCAGCTACCGCCGCACGACAACGAGGCGCGGTACTGCAGCGGGCTGAGCGAGGAGGAGAAGCGGGAGCTGAGGGTGTTCGCCGCTCAGCGGAAACGCGAGGCTCTGGGACGGGGACACGCGAGCCAACTGGACAGGTCCCACGGCGCCGGATGCCGGGAGTGCAGCAGGCCGATCGCGGCTGGCGAGATGGCGGTCGCCGCGAGCCGCGCCGGACCGTCCGCCCTCTGGCATCCGGCCTGCTTCGTCTGCTGCGTGTGTAGGCAGCTGCTCGTCGACCTGATATACTTCTGGAGAGACGGCAGACTCTACTGCGGCAGGCATCACGCGGAAACGCTGAAACCGAGATGCTGCGCATGCGACGAAATCATACTAGCCGACGAGTGCACCGAGGCTGAGGGAAGGGCATGGCACATGAGGCATTTCGCTTGTCTCGAGTGCGATCGACAGGTAAAGGATGGATAGGGCTGGTGTTTTGATGAATGTTGTTCTCTTAGCGGGGTTAGACTTTAGTGAAGGGAATGAAAGGGAAAGGAAATGTTCAAGGGGGAAATTCAATATAGAATTGAGATTAATTTTATGTTTTAATGGATACGATGAAGAATGTCTATTTGTTTGGTTTTTTTCTTTTGTACATGGAGTGGTTAGTGTTGATGTGGTAATATGAGAAAGGTTCGAAAATAGGTTAGGGACTCGTGAGGGATTGCATGACACGAAGCTATGTGTTTTTATCGTTCAAGGTCGTTCATCTGATTTCGCCTCGATTCAAAGAAGCATGAAAGCACAGTGTCATTGAAAACAATGTTACCGACTGTCCATGAATACTAACCAAGTTATCTACAAGGGGCATGAATTATGCATTGTATTCGTAAGCCTAAAAATGGATATCTGCAATTCAGCATCAGTGTTCAAACATTACGGAACACGTGTTTGTACCGGACGATCAACATTACTTTTCTGTCTTACTTTTCCATTAATATCGTACACATTTGTCGAGGCGAAAAGTATCTAAAATCATTCCACGTGCAAAATAGTAGCACATCAGAAAAGAAAGCATAAACAAAGTCATACGTTTTATTCAGGACAGAGAGATGCTCTTAAAGCGATTTCACGTATCAACAACTACCGCCATTGAAAGAATAAATATCTCACTCGAATCCGCAATTTATCACCGGTCCCTCGATCTGCATCGATCAGGATCAACTCCTCTCACTTATCGTGACGACTAATCGAGAATCCCTGTCGACCAACACATACGCACCTACTTAACCTCTCAGCATCAGATCGAATCGCTCTTAATACCCGTGCACACACACTGTAACTTTATCACTGGGAACGCATTAATCGCGAAAAATCACGGATTTCATGGAACGTGTCAAGCACGAATGCAGGAAAAAGGTATAAAAGGAGAAACATCACCGATATATACGTGTATACGATCTCGCTTATATCCACTGGGGAAAAAAGTCCAATGAAAGCGGTACGACGTAGTCCCGTCGGATGGGGCACAGAGGGCAGCAGCTTCGATCGTTGGCGCTTTTTGTAACGTGACAATTATTTACGCCCGACGAGCACGTCCGTCGAGAGTCATTTAGCCTGGAGCGCCGGGACGATTTAGCTGTCAGCCTCAGTGCTGTCCCCTTTATATCCTGTGACGGCCGTCCGTGGCATACAGCACGATAATTCATTGAATCTAGGTGTCGATAAATGTCACGTACAGTCGGCTGCCGGCTGCGCTTCGGACAAAGCTTCTTATCGACCGGACTGGCTCGATAATGAACGATGGAATCTGGATTACGATCGGCCATGTGTCGGCGTTTCTGTTCTCCCGGGATCCACGATAATCCGAGACAAAGTGCACACGTGTAACGATGTATCGGGCCACGGAGTGGATTAATGGGATGAATCGTAGAACTGGCGTGATGATAAAAGTGCTTTTTGTAGGCGTTCCGGATGATGAATGCTTGGCTGATTGTGATTTGAAAAATGTATTTCTGATTTTGTTATTGATTTTTTTTTTTTTTACATGATATAGGGTATATCGGTAATAAGGATTTAGATTTATGTTGAATTGCTAGCATGCTATATAATAATGTGTATATTGAAATCAGTTGATTGCTCATACAGGGTGTCTCACGTAACACTTACCACGATCCACGAAAGTTGATCAGTTTTCAGTCGGCTACAAGTTGTAACAAACAGAATTTTCAAAAACTTTTTCCCAATAAATTGTCAAGGTAACCTTCATTTTTTAAATAGTATTACATATTTTTGACTGCGTAGTATTGTAACTGATACCAAGACGAATTCAATCACGTGGTTCTACTGTGACCTTGAATTCAGAAATGTGGAATCAACGAACGGAATCGTTTTCGTGTAAAATTATTTTTTATTTGTGTTAAATTTTACGTAAACTTCCTCTGCTAGAAATGAAATCAAAAAATTATAACAACAAATCTCCGGAAGTGCTTGAAAAATGGTGATTAGTGTTATGTGGGACAACCTGTATATTTACATCATATACTCTACAGTAGTGTTCCCCCACCACTCTGCCTCTTTACCTCAATTAGTATTCGTTCTAAAAACATTTCACGACACGCACACGTAGTGCAAATGACCCTAATATGGTTTTCACGCAATCTGTGTTATCTTATTTTCAATATTATCCGTTTTCAATATACATGCATATTTTTTTTTAAATTTTATTCTATAAACGTAACAACGAGGGTTACTTGTGCACCAAAATTCTGCTCTCCTTAGCGAAAATATCCTACCTATCGATAATTCATTTTTCAAGGTTTTTTGAAATATTTGGAAATCTACATTTTTTTTTTTACCATTTGCTTTATACAACTATTTGACCGTTTCAAATCATAAAACCTCACTTTTCTCGGATCTTCGAAAATGTTGGAACGACCGAGCTACAAAAAGGCGGGCAGAACATCAATTACCCATCCCAAGCAACATCCTCTTAACCACCTTTTCTCGCTAACCCAACCTTACTCCAGATAAGCACCGCTAATAACGCTGACCCAAGGATGCTCCCAGAAGCATTTACAACTCTCATATACATGGAAACCAACCCTAAAATGATCCAAAACCAACCATCTCACACTGATCATATTACCTAGATCAGCATCCCCTAAACGGTGCATTCTGATTTCAGCTCGGCGGGCAGAGGTACGTGATGAGGGAGGGTAGACCTTATTGTCTCCGGTGTTTCGACGCCTCGTTCGCGGAGTACTGCGACAGCTGTGGCGAACCGATCGGCGTTGATCAGGGGCAAATGTCGCACGAGGGTCAGCACTGGCACGCGACCGAGGCTTGCTTCTGCTGCGCCACATGCCGCACGTCCCTCCTTGGACGACCGTTCCTGCCGCGAAGAGGTGCCATTTATTGCAGCATAGCCTGTAGCAAAGGGGAACCACCGACGACACCGAGCGACTCCTCCGCTGGACCTCCCCCTCCACCTTCTTTCCTCAGGTAGTCACACCGTTGTTCTGACCTTTTGCATACAGTTACAAAGGGAAGGAAAATTCCTGAGAAAATGGAACTACGGAGGATTAAGCTGAATAGGTTTAATTTGGTCGTTAAGTTGGTTAATTAGTTTATTGTTGCTGGATTTGTAGAACTGGTCGGAGGCAACCACCACCCAGCGAAGGTTCCTCAAGTCCACCGCCTCCTCCACCACCTCCACCTCCACCCGGATCGAGACACACATTGGGTTCACCGCGAAATTCACCTCGAATGAACAGGAAACATCATCAGACGTCTACCTCTCTGGCGACGACACCCACGCAGAGCACGCTGAGTCCTGAGTTCGTGACTGAAGGATTCCCCTCGAGTGGTTCCAGGCCCAGTGGCCTTGACAGGGTGCTCCTGGAGAGGAATCTCGAAAGACTGCTCCAGGAACGTAGCACCCATCCCGAGGAGAACCGCACTGAACTGGGAAGGTAAATGAACTTCCCAGGAACCTTGTTTTTGTAGAGATAAATTTTCAAGTTCCAAAGTTTTATTTTACATTTTTATGAATTCTTCCCATTTTATTTTAAATTTATCATCCACAATCTCTGTATTGTATAATTCATAAAATATAATTTACTGGAAAGCGTGAAGTAGAAAGTCTGTGTACAAAGATAACTGTTTGTCCGGTTCTCCTATCTCTAGGCGCACTGTACAGTACACTAGCGCCTCACTTTCTCAATTAACTCCCATTGAATCATGCGCTATTATATTAATCTTTCTCTAACAAATCTTGAACAATCTCTTTAAATAATTCATCCCATATGAATCACTAATCTTGCTAAGAATAAAATTCAAACAACAAAGTGATCATCTAATCTTCGTCAAATATACAGGGTGACTCACATGAAGTGGTGTCATCTCTATTATCTCCGTTGTTGGTGGACCGATCGAAAAATTTTTTTTTTCATTCATGATATGGTTTTCAAGAACCTTCGAAACATTGACATTAAATTTTTTCCGTCATTTTTTAAACAAGTACATAAAAAAGTTGATCTGAATAAAGACAAAATTAGAAAAATATATAATGCCGTCGTCACTTTGACAAAGATAATTTCGATCACGTTATACAGTTCATACCCTGGACACTCATAATCTACGCGGAGAAATAGTTGCATAAATCCAATTAACCATCGAGAAATATTTTCTTCGCAGGCTGATGCAGGCAAGAGACCGAGAACCTCTGAGATGTGTTCAGAACTGCACTCCTTCCCACGCGTCGAGCATGCCAGAACTGCCACCGCCGCCGCCTAGGCCGTCGTCGGGGGCGTCCGCGTCGGCGTCAACGTCCACATCGACCGGCGTCGCGGTCACCGTGCCCGGGGGGTTGTTGGCACAGGAGTCGGCGACATCGCCGACGACCCTTGTCGTCGGCCAGGCCGATCCACCGACGCCGACGTCGCGACGCGTGCGGTTCCAGGGGGATCTGGATGTGAACGATCATGCCGCGTCGTCGTCGTCGCGTGTCCCCCTACCCACTGCCCACGACAGGAATTCCTCGTCCTCCCCATCCCCACCCCCGGCCGTTCTCTTAAGAACGAATGTGTCTCGTTCGAGAAGCTTGCAGCCGGAGGAAGTCGCCAGCACGTCCGCCTGGGGTGCGTAGAAACTTTCCTGCTTTGCATATGATAACACGCTTCCTTCGAGGAAACGCCATCCCTTCCAAGAATGAGAAATTTTAGACAGATGGTGGTCTTAGTTAGGTTTTGTCGGGACTTTGATGGTCTTTGAAGTTTTAGCGAATGATAGAACTTGGGGAAAGATTGATGGGTGAATCGTAATTATTGTTTGAAATTTATGAACCTACTTTACCGACTGTGATATCTGTATTAAGCGTACTGTTGCTGCAATGCATCCACTATATTGTGTTTATGTTAACTATATTTTTTATAAGTATAGTAAAATTTAAAATACATTTAACATGTCATGTCTGCCATACCTACTGCACTAATTGCATTTGTCATGTCTGATTCAACTATTACATTTCCCATAAGCGTCATAACTAGGCTACGGATGTTTGTGTAATTATAACGTATCACAATATGCAAAATAGACGAGAGTAACGTTTGAATCTTTTGAAATAAGTAAACAGAAATAGCATTTTGCATATATTTTTAATACGTTTATTATTAAATGTCCTCGGCAGTAGGCAGCTATATTTATTAGCTTCTTATACCTGGTATACTTTTTATAATTATTTTATTTGTCATTTTTCTGCTGCACAGGTATGGCAGGAAGCTCAAAATCGAGAATGGAAGGTGAGGATGACGACATCGAGTCCTGCTGTTCCACCTGCAGCTCGTCTAGTAGTTCAGACGAGGCTGCTGCATACGCCTTGCCACCGAGAAGAGCATATGGCGGCGTTAGAATTTCTTATGTGCCGAACGACGCAGTAGCGGCCGCGAGGAAACGCACACCCACCTCCACCACTCCGAATCAAATGCAGAGGGACTCGGAGAAATGTGTCGTGTCTTGATGTCTCGTTAGAGAATTTGGAATTGCCATGTCGATGTGTTCGATACAATTGATATCGATGGAAACACGCTTTTGTTTTGCAGTCACGTGACGTGAAAAAAAGAGGTTAGAATGTCGAGAACGATCGAGCAACGCGAAAGACGAACGAACGCGAGACAACACAGAGTTCCTAAAAACGGCATAAACTGAGTTCGAGACGTCTTCCGTGGTCGAGGCTCGATTTTCTTCGTTGTAAAATCGGACTCCCGAGAGAGAGAGGATTTTTAATTATATTCGTGTACATAGTGAACGTACTTCCGAAACGATCGCTCGTGAACACCGGACACAGTCGCGAGGATCGCGCTTCTCCTTCTATTTTTATTACCCCCCGTTGAACGTATTTGATAATAATAACGATGATGATAACGTTATATTTTATTACCATTGCCATTCCCGCTGCGTAAACGACAGAGTTAAACCAGCGTCGCGTGCTTGTTTAAAACCGGATCGTTCCGCTTCGACCTGCTTGTTCAGATGTCGCTCTGAGCTAAGAGCATCGGTCGAAAAGCGGGCTCTGCTCTACACGAGGCAGAGACAGTATTTAATCGTGATGCGACCGCATGACGTTACGCTGTAAGTACAAATGACGAGCGTTCGGACCGAGATGTAGACAATCTGAAAAGTATTCGGGAAATAAATTCAGACGAAATCGATCGTAGCGATCGTGTGTCACTCGGTTATTTAATCAATTACCTGATATGTCCTTTCACGTATTTCCTAATGTACACCATTATCTTACCATCCATAATTTAAAAAAAAAAAGAATTAAGTACTTAAAAACATTTTCTTCGAATTTCCACAGTGAAATTGATTTTATTCAAGATTTATTTGAAAATAAATCTTATCCTAGATTAATCTTTTTTATTTTTCCTCACCTAAGCAGCAGTCAACCGAAACAACCGTACTTCAACACGTGAAAACTCGCTTTCTACCTCTTCGACCCAAGGTAAGATCAATCATGAGCGAGGCAACGTTCGGAAAGCTCGTAAAAGCCACGTTCACCGATCGTTCCGCTGCAACGAGATGCACGTAACATGCGATCAGAATAACTTCTAGAAAACTGTGATGGCAGACGATGTTAACAACGGTGAGATCTCCGTGAACAAAAGTGCTGCATTAAGGCCTGTCGTCTGATTAGAGAGAGGGGCAAAATGAAAACGCACGGTCGGGCAGCGAAAAGAGCGAAAGTGGTTTCTCTCGACCAAACCAGACGCTCGTTGTTATGCCACTATCTCGTCTACTTGTTACACTCGTAAAGCCTCTTTCTCTCTCTCTCTGGCTTTCTCTTGTTTCACGCGAGAGAGATCTCTGGTATATGACGAGATGTCGGAAGAATCAGAAGAATGAGCCACACCGATTTATTATCCGCCAACGTCCAAGTTTTCTACCAAGGATTCCCCGAGCCTTGTTGCGAAAGATGGCGACGCCATTATCCTATGGCGCGCACCTACTACGGTTCGTGTCGCGCATTCATATCGACTAATCGAATGTTTTCAGAGGATGCGTGCTCGAATGCAGTCGATTATGTCATGATAACCCGAGGGAACAACAGGTTACACGAGGTTATGTAAGTTCTTGAGAGATCTCGTGACCTGCCAGAGACACCTATGGGGAATTGTGTGATGAGGCTATTGTAGCGTTAACGTGTTTCTTGTGGAACTATTTAGGTTAATTCGAGACACCGTTGAAACAGGTGTTTCATAGCGAATGATGGAGGTTATGGTGGATGTATTGAAAAAAAAAGTGGAAGGAAACATTTGATATTTAAATAGTTTAAGATGGAATCAATTGTATTTTATTTTATATATTTTTTTACTGTTCGTGAAGTATTATTTTTTATTTTGTTGTTTCGAATATCGTAGAAAATTTATTTAACGAATGTAATACTTTTTGTATATTGTAGTATTGTTGGTAATGTTAAAGATATTAATTATTACACTGTTTTTTCACTTCTAATGGTTAGTACACTTTCTTGGATCAGCTAGAAACGCAGGTCTATAAAAATATCGAGCAGTATTTTTCTCCCATTTTATGCACTCCTAATACGCACACTTTAACGGTTTAAAACGGTCCGAAGTGAAATCCTCGTCGTAAATCGTGTGTTCGGAACAGTTTTACTGGTCAATTACGCAAATCGACGCGCGGACGTTTCTCAGGAAACATTTTCCTCCAGTACATTGTACATTTTGCAGGTTGCTAATATTGGTAAGAAACGTCGACTTACATAGTTGTTCATTTGCAGTATCCCTGCAAATATTAAACTTCACCATACATGCTATAAAAATTTTAAATCAGTTTGAAATTAAATTTATAATTATTATACTAGAATTTCCAAGAAAATTTCTAAAGAACTTTAATTGGGTATATAATTCATATCTGACACGTAACAAGTACAAAATCTGAAGTACAACTTTCTCGTGAAACTTTAATTATTATACTATATGTATACTATCATAACATAATCTACACGAGGCTATATACAAGATTTCAGCAAAAAGTGTAATGAGCCGACTTTATTGCAATTATAGAGGATACTAATTGAATTCTGATAATAGAACTGATTACGCCCCATCTACATTCGTTGATTCACGTTTTTCTACAAAGATAAGAAATTTCATCGCGGAAAATTAAAATCGCAAAGATGCACAAACTAGGCCGTGATTGCGCCATTGTACACACAAGTGATTCGCGCGACTGTTATACACACCTGAAAGAGAACGCACTCTCGCGTGTATGCTCGTTTTCACGGAATCCTCTTCAGACGCGTAACACGGACCATCGTGCCGTGTTATGGAGCCCCGCCATTGTATTGTTTCCGTGGATCCATTCGCGATACACGAACATTTCCCTCGGCGCGTTCACCTATGACCCTAGTCGTCGCATTCAACGTACAAATTTTCTTCATACCTCTGTAACAATGTTACTTTCAATTTAACACCGAATATTTTCATATCGGTCTATTCTTTTTTTATAAAATAGACCCTATTAGACGTTTGTTTGCAATAGATTCAGGTGCACTAAAGTTCCTTTCCACTCGATACACAAAAATAGAAACTCATTGTTAATTTCAACACTCACTTTTTCCACCTAATACCACAAATACTGAAAATTTCTGTTTATATTTTATTCATACCATATATCACAGTGAACGTAAACGGACACTCGTCCGACTTCTCCATTTTGCTTATCTCCTAACCTAAACCCGCCAAAAAAGGCGCAACAAGTAGGCGCGGGCGCGTAAGGTGTTTATACGCCATGGAATGTAGGAAAGAATGCCCGTGGAAGGAACGGCAGACCCACTGGCCATAATATTGTGCCACGCATACGCAACTGCTTGCCATTCCACATACACTTAACGCCTTCGTCGATGTCTAATGACGACACTCGTGGATACGTATTCTACAAGTGGAATCGTGCTCTCTCCCCCTCCCTACGCACCCTTGCTAACATCACGGTATCCCTTGGGGGCATTCCATCCAGCCCCCTACAGCACGTTACCACATCAATTTATGTAACGTTAAGAACTGCTATCTGATCGAGGATTCTTACTTCGAGTGAGTCGGACTCTGGTCAAAACGACCCGTGGTTATTACGAATTTGTTGTCTTTTATCCCTGCGGGGAAAAAAGCACGACGAGTACGATAAAACAGACGAAGATTTCAAGGTTTAAGTTGAGTAAGATGATCATCGCGTGTATCGTCGAATTGTTGATTAGCAGTTACCTATGCGTATCTCGTTTCTTTATATCATATACGTATTTTTATTACACGTATACGAGGCACTTCTATCTCTATTATTATTCATCCCACTTAAAGTTTTTTTTTTCTAAGTCACATATACCATTCCTTTTGTAATTCAAACTCTCTACTCTTACTACATACATTTAATAATATCTCTTGTAAAGTGTAATAAAGGGGCTAACTTCACGAGATAAGTATCTTTCAGCCGTCGACTAAATATCGACTAGCCGTATTCGCGATGCAAGCGACACAGAATACATACCCACCGACCCTAACCTCTTGTCGAACTTGCAAAGAAGCGCCAAGAATCCTCAAAAAACCATATAACCTCCTACACATTACTTGGTGAACTAAAAATAAATCCAGTCCCGGATCTTGAGACGGCGACATGTTATTTCCAAGCCGAATTCCGTGAAACTTTCAGTATACAGAGCAAATTCCGGCCGTTCCCTGTCGCATCTCGTTTCGTTTAAATCACCGAGTTGAATGAAATCTCGGTTTCCCGTTACGCGGAGTCTGATTCACGCGAGAGTCACGTCGGCCGGCGTGGACAGAGAACGCATTCTCGCCTAGCCGCCACTATCCGGCCGGATCTCCGGCCATTCCACAGATGCTGGACGCGTTGTGGATACGCCCAAATAACGTTCTCTAGCGAGGATCGCGCGACCGGTGTTGAGGAACCCGCTTATCCGACCGCGAGGTACGCGAATGCAAAGAATTCCGTCTCGCCTCGCGCGGTACTCATGTCGTGTTTGTCGTTGCTTACAACGGGCTTTTGTAAGAAAATTCCTGCGGGATACCGATAGGTGATCGTTGGGTATGCGGGGTTATGTAGGATTTATTATACACGAGATATAATGTTCTTTTGTGCTGCAGTGTCGAGAGTTTGCATTAGAATGTCGCGAAAATTTAGCTGCCATATTGGGATAGTGTATTTATTTTAAAAGTGGTGGGGGATATTTCTCATTATAGGTTAGACAGACGTCAGTGAGTTTTGGAGATGAAAATTTTTGTAAAGATTAATATTTTTCTTCTGTTAAAAACGTTACGAGACAGTAGGTTAATGGCCGAGATAATGATACTTAGTTTAATCTAACAAGGGGTTAGGAGGTCTCATAAAAGTGTGGATTCTGCAGTGTGAATAGAAAATAAGAGAAAACGGTTAGGAATGTCACACGGTAAACAATGCAACAGCGTTAAAGTGTGTTAGAACACGTGGAGTATAGAAAGTAATAAAAATGACAGCGAGAAGAACAGTAAAGTGACGTAAATAGAAACATTTCAAAGTAGGTAAAAATTCCTAACGAATAATCCATCAACTGGACAATGTAAACATCAATAAAATAGCACCCAATAATCATAACCTCGAACAGTAGGTTTTACCTTATTTCTTCATGAGGAACAAAAACCATGTTCAACGAAAGAAGTAAGATGAAGAGAAGTTGATGGTTATTACGAGGACGCGACGAAAAATTTCACCTAGTCGTGGACCTGCGGCAATTTCACGGATAACAGCGAGCGTGTCAGAGGCTGAATCGTTCGAATTAATCATACGCGACGCAAGTAGGCCGGTCGCGTAAAAACAAACGATCTGCGCGTGCGCACAGCCACG